ATTTGAACCCAAACTTACGATTTTTAATGTTCAATTCTGATCCTAGAGATCTTAATGATTTCCGAGACATTGCCCGGAAAGCGGAAAAGGTTTTACGGGAGACCAAATTTCAAACACCTAATATAGGAACGTCTCGAAACATTAATGAGATCGATACTTCACTTCCAGAAGTCTGTGAATCTGAATATGTAGACCCTCAAGTCGAGGCATTGAAATTACCTAATAAAAAGGTCAACCATGATTATTCTGGCATTAAATGTTGGAATTGTTTGGAGTTTGGCCATTCATACATATATTGTTCGGAAGAAATCAAGAAGCCTTTTTGCTTCAAATGCGGTCAACAGGGTACCTTGACACCCAAATGTCCGAACAAACATTCTTTTCAGGGAAATCGAAAAGTGGGCGAAATGGCTACCGGGGACACTCGTCCACCCCCACAAACCCCGAGTTTGAACTAAAGTCTAATTTTAACGAAGATAATTTTAATTTCGTTGAACATTTTAATATACCTGCTAAAACATTTACTAAGGAAAATTCGATCCAAACCCCCAATTCTTACATTTGCGAGGATAATATAGAAAAATTACATGAAAATTCTATAATAGATAATTTTCAGGAGAACTCTTCCATACCTAAATCTATGCAAACCAATATTGAAACTTTTAGGAGTGATAGTAATGATTATGCGCCAAACAAACGGAAAATGACAGCCAAACCCACATTTAACATAGTTAAATGTAGAATACGATTCAAGAAACGTAAGTTTTTCCGAAAACTATTAGAGTCAACAGTCTTTAATGGGTCGGATGACAGGCCATTCGCTAAAGTAAAAGTAAACGAAGATACTCTTGTAGGATTATTGGATTCGGGAGCCAATGTCTGTGCATTAGGTAAGGATTGTCTATCCTTTTTGGAAAAAAATAAAATACCCTATACGCCGATTAAATCTGCAGTACATACGGCAAGTGGCAACAAACAGGATGTTATAGGCTTTTGCGTTTTACCAATATTTTTTAAGGGCGTTATTAAGAATATTACCTTTTATGTAGTCCCATCGCTTAGTCAATATGCTTATTTCGGTATTAATTTTTGGCGAGAGTTTGCTCTTGCTCCTGATATTATTCCAACCAATCTTGCTCAGGTTTCAGAAATTTCATTAGACTCAAGCTTGGAAAATTTCCACGAATTGACTCCAGAACAAAAGCTAATTTTAGAAAAGACAATTTTAGAATTCCCTTCGTATGAGAAGTTGGGTCTAGGTAGTACTGATGTATTACAACACCACATTGACACAGGCGACGCGGTTCCAATAAAATGCAAACATTATCCATTATCCCCTCCCAGACAAGAAGAAGCGTTTCAGGAAATCGATAGGTTATTAAAACTAGGCGTTATCGAAGAATCTAATTCTCCGTGGTGCTCACCGGCAGTACTTGTGAGAAAACCTGGGAAAGTTAGACTCTGCATAGATTCTAGGAAACTTAATGAGGTAACAAAAAAAGACTCCTACCCATTGCCTCACATCAACGGACTACTTAGTAGGCTCAAAGATACGTATTTTATAACAGGAATTGATCTCAAAGACGCATTTTTGCAAATCCCACTGACGGATTCATCTAAGGAAAAGACGGCCTTCGTGATACCGGGCAAACCGTTGTATCACTATAAATACATGCCTTTTGGTTTATGTAATGGGCCACAGACCATGAGTCGGCTCATGGATAAAGTCATTCCTTCACGATTGCGTGAAAATGTATTTATATATCTTGATGACTTGCTAATCTGTAGTTCCGATTTTGAAACGCACATAAGTCTGTTGTCACAAGTAGCGTCTTGCCTGAAGGGAGCCAAATTGACTATTAATGTGAGTAAAAGTAAATTCTGTCAAAAGGAGATCAAATATTTAGGATATATTGTTGGCAATGGTTGTTTAAAAGTTGACCCGTCTAAAGTAGAATCGATAAATAATTTTCCTCTTCCGAAGACACCAAAACAAATCCGTAGATTCATAGGTATGGCAAATTGGTATCGCTCCTTTATAAATAACTTCGCGGATCTTGCGGGACCTCTGACTGATTGTTTGAAAAAGTCGAAAGGAAAATTTTCACTCACTGATGAAGCTATTACAGCGTTTGAAAAACTGAAGGTTGCCCTCTCTTCTGCTCCAGTATTAGCGCAACCCGACTTCCAAAAAGAATTTGTAATACAATGCGATGCTTCCAAAATTGGGGTAGGCGGTGTATTGTTCCAATATGATCAGCAAGGCTTAGAGCATCCCATCGCGTATGTATCACAAAAACTGAATAAAAGTCAAAAGAATTACACGGTTACCGAACTGGAATGCCTTGCAGCGATTGTAAGTGTAAATAAATTTCGTCCCTATATTGAAGGTTTACGTTTCCGCATAATCACGGATCACTCTTCCCTGAAGTGGCTTATGTCGCAGAAGGATTTGAGTGGACGTTTGGCGCGCTGGAGTTTGAAATTACAGCGGTATTCATTTAGTATTGAACATAGAAAAGGATCCCTAAATGTTGTACCCGACTGTCTCTCTAGAATGGATATAGATGATTTATCTTTGGAAAATCTACCAACAGACATTGATCTCACATCACCTGAATTTGAAAGCGAAGAATACCAACGTCTCCGAAAATCCATCTCCGAGAACAGAGAGTCCTTGCCTGATCTGTGTATATCTGAAAACTTAATTCTGAAAAGGGTAAACTTTAGACAGGGTTCTGAAAATGAGGAAAATAGCTTGTGGCGTATTTGGATACCAATGTCCTTAGTACCATCAGTCATTAAATCTGCTCACGACTCGATAGGTTCATGTCATGGCGGTTTTATAAAAACATTATCAAGAATTCGACAAAAATATTTTTGGCCGACCATGATAAAGGATGTTAAAACGTATATAAGTAAATGTGATATCTGTAAAACTATAAAATCATCAAACCAAATTACAAGACCTCTAATGGGTAATCATATCCACACTAATAGACCATTAGAGAGGCTGTACTGCGACTTTTTAGGTCCGTATCCATTTACAAAGTCAGGGAATTCCATTATTTTTATATGTTTGGATCATCTAACAAAATTTGTTTTCTTAAAACCTATGAGGGCAGCAACAACATCTAACGTGATTTTATTTTTTGAATCTGAAATTTTTCCAACCTATGGAGTACCGAGGTTTATTCATAGCGACAATGCCAAGCAATTCCTTTCTAAGGAAATGAAAGACTTCTACGAATTGTATGATATATCTCACATTACAACAGGATTTTATGCACCACAATCTAATGCATCGGAACGAGCTAATCGCGAAATTATCACGAAAATCAGATTTTTTTTGCAGGACCATAAAGATCATCGTGAATGGGATAAGTATATCCCTCAAATTTTATCAGTTTTGCGTAGCGACTATCATTCTGCGATAAAATGTTCTCCCTATTACGCAATGTTTGGCCAGAACATGGTTCAGCATGGTTCGGCTTATAAGATTTTGGATACATTAGGTTGCTTATCAGGAGAAGATATGAACATTTGTAGCGATAGTAACAAATTGTCAAAAATAAGACAGAATCTTCGCGAGAATCTGACTATTGCACATAATAAAGGCGCTAAAACTTATAATCTTAGAAGCAGGCCAGTACAATTTCAAAGAGGTCAAATCGTATTTAGGAAGAACCACGTAATGAGTAGCATGTCCAAACGTATAAACAAAAAGTTTATGCCAAAATATATCAAGTGCAGGATTAAGGATAGAATAGGCAACAATCTATACGATATTGAAGATCAAAATGGGAAATATATAGGGAAATACCATGCTTCCGACTTAAGGTCTTGAATTTTGCCCGGCTTTCGTGGGTCGTGCCACACTTGCCAACTGTGAATAATGAAAATTGTGATGTGGTACGAAAAATCTTTCTCCTGCCATTAAATTATTATTGAATATGAATCTGACTTGAAATTCTATTGCAAAAATATTTCTCCCTATAAAATAACTTAAATTTAAGAAAAACGATTAACATAACAATGCTTTTTTTTTCAGTGTATTCGCTTGGTCCACTGAGAACAATTTATGTATGTATTTTGAAAACAAACAAAAAATCGGTTTCCTGTTCAAACTTCAACTTACGAACAAGTTTAAGTTTAAAGCAGGTTTGTTACGATTTTTTTTTTTTTTTGTTCAACAAATTTATTTGTTTTCTGTTTGCGTTCGTAATTGGTGGTTGGGATTCATTCCCCACGAAAATTATTTTATTTCAAGTTCAAGGTTAAACCTTGACACACATTCTGTTGTACATAATATACAACAATCACTTACTATTAAACAAAACAAAAAAAAAGAATTTTTACTCTTTAAATAGCTTTGATCATAGCGAAGAGTAAACATTTCTCTTTATTGGCATTTTTTTTCTTTCGTCTTTGCATTTATTTCTTTGTATCTAGCTGGACATGCAGAGAGTTTGAGCATTAGGTTGTTGTTGTTGCTGCATTTTTTTTATGGAAGAGAATGTTTATTGCGTTTTCCTTTTCATATATATTTGGGTTTTTGTAAGAATAGAGAAGTTTAAAATAAAGCCAGAGTTGGTTATAGGAGTTTTATGGATATTAATTTACTAAAACGAAATATATTCTAATTCATTTCATATTATTATGATAAACATATGGGTGTAGTTCACTTATCACCTCCTTAACAATTAATTTATATCGTTTAGGGGGTTATTATGAGAAAATTACATAAACATAATTAACATTTAGTGCGAATAAAGTTTTTTTTTATAAAATACATTGAGGAAAATCCTACAGGCACTAAATTTTCCATCCCTGTTTACTTAATTTGACTTAAAAATCAAAATATGTTTCAAATTCCATATTGTTCCTATTTAAGGAATGTATTTTTTTTTTTGAAGACAGTAACGGGACTTTATTTTCAACATTTAAAAAAAAAATCATGTTACTTGATTCAGGTTTTTGCGTAAAACAAATCATTTGTGAAGTGGATTTAGTGAAGAACACTACTAAAGCGGATAATTATCAATATAATTCAAAAGTGATTTTGATCAACATAATTAGTTAAATAAATTAAATTAAAGTTTTGCCCGAATTGTGATAGTTGTTAGGAAAGTTTTCCAAAGTGAAAAGGTAAGACAAAACTATTTCACTAACATTAGTTTTCTTTTTTCGAAACGTATACATAATTTCCATTATCATATTAGATTTTTTTCCTTCGCCTTGTATATAAGGAAACTCCAAGCCAAGAGGATATTCTCAATAGGACTTGCTGTAGCAGACGGAATACTAGATTTGTGATGAACAGTGTCTCCTGAACTCCACGTGTTTAGTTTTACCAGAGTTACAGTCATAAGGAAGATTCAGGTATAATTCAGACCGCGTGCCTGAGAGGGCCAAATACCTAATCACCAAGTGAGACAATTACGTAAGTTGTATGATTCCTAGGAAAAAAATTGTCGAAAGGCTAGTTAGTAACTCATCTATAGGTTCTTGTGCATCCACGTGAAACCATAAATCGACATTTCCTACGTTTCCGATACAGGAAGTAACCCACGTGGTCCTGTACTTATTGAGTCTAATCGGGAAATTCCAACTACATCAAATCAGATTTCAGGCGTTTTCAAATCACATGGTAAATTCCACATACACCAAATTATAGGAATCCACGTGTTTCTTATTGAATCCCACATTATGAAAATAATTTCATCAGAGCTTCACATACATTAAATCATTTTGCTGCCGAAAACCTCCAAAGTTTATTATTAAGGAAAAGAAAGAAAAATTCAAGAAAATTTCGTTTGATATATTATCCTACAACTCTTATTCAAATTAACATCATAAATTTAGTAAAATGAAATCATAAGAAATTTAATTATATAGATGGAACTTTAATCCTAAATTGCATGGCAATAATAAACTACAAACCTATTTTGTAAAACTAAATCTGATATACTTAAGGATAAAACTGGGGAAAAAATTATATAAATTTACGATCGGAATTAATAATCGGGAAAGCTTGCATGAATATACACATTTATTTTTTTCAAAACCTAGAATAGGAATACGTGGATAAGAAGGAAAAAGGATAATTTAAATAATTTAAATACTACTCGCAATTTAAACGATAATCAAAACTGATATACATATTTGAGATTTCGAAAATTGAAATTTAGAAATTAAATGAATTCAAAATTAATCACTTCAAATTTGAAATCTGAATTAATTAAAGGAAATTAAAATTAATTTATTCAATTTTGAAATTTAAAGAATTGAAATCTAAATTGAATTATTTAAAATTTTAAATTAATATATTTTAATTTTGAAATTTAAGAATTTTTAAAATTAATTTCAATTAGAAATTTAAGCCTTGGAAAAATTTTAATAATTGTTCAAATTTGAAATGCATTAAATGAATTTAATTCAAATTGGAAACTTAAAACCTAAACTATTTTAACTAATCAAAGTGATAATTTAATTGCAATAAAGAATTATTTTTTTTTTTTTCTTGAATTATTTTCTAAACTTAAGATTTAAAACTTACAATAATTTAAAATTAATTAATTCGATTTTCAAATTTTAAACTTAAAAGTGTTTAAAAACATTTAACTCAAATTTAAAATTTAAGCATTTCAAGATTAATTAATTCAAATTTTAAATTTGATACAGAACAAAGAATACGTTATTTACAATGACGGAAATATGTTTTTAATATTTAAAAATTACCGTGCTGAATAGAAATTCTAAAGAGAAATTTAAACTAATTAATATAAATTAAAGACTTAAAACTAAGATTACAAGAAATTTTAAATTTATTTTAAAATTTCAATGAGGAAATTTAACATGAATTTGAATAAATGAGTAATAAAAACTTTTATTTAAATTTAAAATGGAAATCGAGATTATTCACAAATATAGTTAATGGAAAAAAAAAAGGAAATCATTTATCCAAGAAAAGAATATATTTAAGAAAGAAAAAAAAAGTAATTGACCAAATGAAATCGAAATATTAAAGTTTAAATTAAGAATTTTATATAACAAATATCGGCATTCAAAAACAAACGAATTGTTAAACTAAAAATATACTGAAAATTATAGAAAATTTTAAGAAATTCAATGAAAATTATAATTGCAAACCTACTTATTATATAAATTCAACATACAATTTTCAAAGTAAAAATTATTTGCAAGGCACTTTGAAAATGAAATGTTAATTTATTTTATAATGATTAAAACCTAAGTTTACAGAAAAGAAAACTGAAATAATGTAAATTACAAGAACGAAACCAACATTTTACAAATCAACACTAAACATCAAACACATATTGTAATGCAGTGATTGCTGGGCCCATCAATTGACATCGCATAAAACTTAACACGAGTAAACAACACATGTAAATACATTCATACATATCTACAGATGATTGTAAGTAATACTTAAATTTTCTTTTATATTTTTATATTAATTATTTTATTATTGTAAAGAATGTCCGATTAATTTTTCACATTTATATTTATTTTATTATTATATTTATATAATTTATATATGATTTATATATATCTAACATTTGAACTGCACCAAATAAATCTTATTAATTTTGTTTTATAAACTAACAACATGATATTTTAAAGATTTTAATAAGGGGAATGTTAACCATCGTAAGATATGAAAAGTAAAGTATATTAAATAGTGTCTATCAAAAGGGACAGGTATTTCGAATTATGGGTACTTTCCTGTCAAGGCGTCTGACATTAAGTCAGTGGGAGGGAAACATTGTACCCCTATGTGGCACAACAACTGGCCACCGTTTAGTTTTCACTAGTTGACAATATCAAGCTTTATTCTTTTTATATTTTGGCATACTATAGGTACATTTAGGCATGGATAGTATGCTATATGCTTACGCGCAGTAATATGAGATAAGACTTATCATTGCCTCAAAATTTAGCTAGCTGGAAAACCTTTCAACATGCCTCTTAATCTCATTTTATTTGTTTTGGTTTGCGATTGAACTCGGACAGCAATTTTCATTATTCATGTAAGCCTGCCGCGTAACAGTCCTTTTACGAAAATCTCTTAAACGCAGATTACTCATTACCAAATAAAGCTATTGATACAAAATTTGGCACAAATATTAGTTTTGTATACAAAAATTCTATTTCAAGATTTTTTCACTATCGGTTCATAACATGGGTGCGGTCGGTCCCAGACAAGGTTCCCTTCAGAAAATCACATAAACACAGATTACACAGATTATATATGTATTTTGAAAATCCTTAAATCTTTCACGCACATGCATACATGCAAATTACTAAATAACGCTAAGCGCTATAAAAACATAAAGAAAATGGCGTTTGTAATGTTCAATAAATATTGGAATTGTAATAGATTTATGCTGTTTAAATCTTGTGACTTTCTATTCTATTTAAGACATGAGAAAACTTATTTCTACAAATATTTGATCAATTAGAAAAGTATTAATATAAAAGTAGCTGGTATTTAAGATTCGGCTCAGCCGAATGTAGCACTCTAACTTGTTTTTTTACAAAAAAAAAAAAAAAAAAAAAAAAAACTCAAATGTATATTAATGTTACAAATATAGAAATTTGTATACCCTTTACTTCATGAGAAAGATATGAATTAGTTTGGCTTTCCATTTGTAATTTGCTCATTATAATATTCCAATCTTGTAAAGTATATTCTGAATCATTAATGAAACATGCTTTTAGAAAGTTCTTCTGTATGCTTTTAAAAAGTTATTATGGACCTATCCTTATAAAATTGAGAACGGAGTTCAAATTGTTGTCAACCACCCCAAAATTTTAGTGCATTTAGTGAAGGAAGTAATGATTTATTTCAAAATGTATGTATATTTCCTGATATACATATGTACACCGTACGTATACTTAATATTGAATTAACTTATTATTAATGCTAATACGTAGGTACAGCTATTTGTAAATACATTATTAATCGAAAAAAATATTTAAAAAAAAATTAAAGTAAAAATAAAAGATTTCAAAAATAACAAGTGAGAGTGTTATATTCGGCTGTGCCGAATCTCATATACCCACCACCAAACCGTATGCCGTGAAAGGAATGGTCCCCTATAAACATCTGGGTGATGTTTGGAATATAGCTTAAGTCTATTACAGAGCTCTTTTTAACTAACAAAATATTAATTTTTAAAAACAAAATATTTTTGTTAAATTTTTAAACCGTGAGGGTATGAGTAATTTTCTGAAGAGGACCTTTACATGCGTCAATTATGAACAGATACTCATAAAATTTTGTTCATAGATTTTGTTTTGCAAAGAACTTGTTTATGTCAAATTCCATCGCTATACTCATATTTTAATAAGCAAATCCCTTTCCTGGAGGAAACTCTTTATAGGGGCTAGGGTCAGTTTTAGTTTTATTCACCATTATATTCGGAATAAAGAATTATGTTCCTATATATAAACTTTGTTATGTAGATTTTCATCGCTGTACTCGTAATTTTCTGAATCCTACTCATCAAAATTTTCTGAAGAGAACCCTAGGAGTAGGGTAAATTACTGACCGATCTTTATAACTTTTTGAAACAGAGTTTGGTTTACATAAAACTGGTTTACATTGCGTATCATCGCTGTACTCGCATTTTTATGCCAGTAATTAGCGTTAAAGTAATTTTCTGAAGGGGGCTTATAAGGGCGGCTAGGGTGAGTTACCAATACATTCTGCATGAAACTCGGTAGCAAGATTAACGTTCGTATAAAATTTTTTTATGTCGAATTTCATAACATATGGGGGGTAGGGTCAATTATAGACCGATCCACATGGTGGAGAGATTTTGGCGAGGAACCTACTTGTGTTAAATTTAACGCTATACTCGTAATTTTTATGTCGGTAATGAGCGTTAAAGTCACTTCCTGAATGGGACCTTGTATGTGGGGCAAGGGTCATTTGTGGGCCGATCCTCAATAAATTTGGTAGAGAGATTTTGGATCGCATAAAACCTATGTATGCCGAATTTCGTCACTATATTCATATCTTTAAGTCAGTAATGAGCGTTATAGTAATTTTCTGAAGGGGACCTTATATGGGGGGTAGCGTCAATTATGGACCGATCCTTAAAAAAATTAGGTTGAGAGATTTTAGCTCATATGAAACTTATTTACATCGAATTTTATATATTTTTTATTTTTAGGTCTGGCCGTTAATGCTGTTATTTTGGTCCATTTTTATGGGTGCTATCCGAAAACGTGAACCAATACACAGTGGGGCAGAATGGAAATTTTTTGGAAATAAATCTGGCATTTCTAAACGGCTGATCCGATCGGGATAATGAACCCTGCAGATGCCCCAGGGACGGCGCTGTGGCGGCTCAAAGTAGGGTACCTACGACATGTAAAATTTTTAAACTCGTGCCATTTTTTTGTTTTTCACCCAAATACAAAGATTTTTATACTTTGTGAAAGCGCTCGACGAGATCTTGAAAAAACATGCTTGGACATACTACTTATCTCTTATAATATCCGAGTTATAGGCATTTAAAAATTTAGTGATACAAAATTTACCATACCTTGGTCCGCCTTTTTTTGAATACCGGGCGTAATTTTGGACCAAATGGACTCAATTTTTTCTTGTTAGTTAGACAACAAAATTTCCAATAATATACAAAAAATTTCAGATCAATATTGTTTACAGATCCAAAAATATACGTTTTTTAATTTAAAAATTCAAAAAATTTTAGATTTTTGGCGTTTTTTTGCCAAAAATGTGTCTTAACTCTTTTATTAATAAAATAAAATTTTCTTTAAGAACATATAACAATTTTATAGTTTTCTAAAAGGTATCTTTACGCAGAACGCTTTGGCGTAAAAAACTTGTCCTATTTTTTTAAAATGTTGCCACTGCGTCCTTCCGAATATGACCTATTTTTTATCAAAACTTCAACTTTGGGCGACATGTTCTAAAATCCCAAAGCTGGGATCAGAAAACTGAAAGCAGTTTTGGAAACCTCAATATGTTTTCTATTTACTCCAAAAGTATTTTCCCAGCCCTGAAAGAAATGTGGACCCTATGGGCAAAAAAGTAAAAAATCCCATTTTTGGGATTTTCATTCCTATTTTTGGGAATTGCGGGATGCCCTT